GAACTGCAGGTCACATAGCAGTGATGCGTTATTCGCATTCATAAGCAGCGCTGTTGGTTTCCTGGTACGTTAAATCTGCAACGAGAGACTGTCACACACTAAAAAGTGGCGAAGCTGAAGTCGCTTCTCTTTTGAATTCTTCCGTTCCATCTTAAATGGTGCCGCATTTTCATTCGGCGCCTCAGTTAGAATTTAAGGTGGCACGGGTAAATTCGAAGAAGAAGCTGGAGAATAAGAAGCGACTTCAGCCTCGTAAAAAAACAGTCGAACGCTGAGAGACATTTAACTGATCTTCTTCTGAAGAAATGTTTTCTGGTGGAGATGGAAGGAAAGCGGCTGTAGGCAAAGCTTAAAGCAGAGCGAAGTAAATCTGCGTTTTTGTTTATATTGTTTAGTCTATACTAGGACATTATCACATACTGAGACATACTGGACATTAAATGTTGTGACTCCCAAGGTGGTTTGATTTTTGTTGAAAGGACAAAATGGCTCTTCTTATCTTTTGTGTTGTGACTCCTGACCTAACCTGGCTTTAATGCAGAGGGAGCTGGTCAGATTTCTCGCTCATCCAGTAGTGTTTTTGTTATGTGCCGCCACAGACTGTCCGGGCGCTGCACTTACCCACTTCCAAGTTCCGCCTTTTGCGTTCCGTCAACATTACATTATAAATCAAATATTTAAAAAATCGATTTTTGACATTTGTGAATCGATTCAGAATCGTTCACGTCCGCATCTCGATGCATCTAAGAATCGATTTTTTCCCGCACCCCTAACTATTACTATGTTATTTGATACAGTTGATATTAGTACTCTATTGCTATTACATTATTATGAATATTATTTATATTATGTTGTGATATTGTCGCTTTTGGGGGGGAAAAAAAGGAGAAGGAGAAAAGTTTCATGTTTTTCAATATAAATTCATGGAACAAGGTATTATTCATTCAAGGTATTAGTCATTTAAACCATTTCTTTTGGTGTATTTATCATAAACAACAGTGGGTGTTTACTGACAGAATCCTGCAACATGACTTCTGTCATAAATGTTTAGATTCAACAGGTTTGCTTTTTTGTACAGGGAAACATGCCAAAACTATTGTCCATGGTAATCAACCATACTCTAAAGCTGTGGCAGATAGAGATTAAGTTGAAAAACACTGGAATTTTCCTTTGAAATATGAAAATACTTTGATTGTTAACATGCCTGTCTTTTTAACTTTCCTATCTGGCTCTGTCTTCCTAAGGTTTTCCAGCCTACTTTTAGTCATTTTATGTACTGTGAGTAATCTTAGCAAGTGTCCCACTGGGGGGCTTAATTTTGCTTTCTTCAAGTATTCACTTCTTCCATTTGTTATTTTTAGAGGCTTTTTTTCTGCAGTGTATCAGACACAGTTTGGTACTAGAAATAGCTCAGAAATACAATACGTAGTATTTAGTTACCAAGAAAATATTCTCAATGAGGAACAGGACCAGCCGTTGTGAATGAATCCTTCCCCAACCCACCCCAGCAATAATTCTAACCTGGACAGGTGAAGTATTATGTTTTATTGTTTATTGAATGCAGTATTAGCTAATAACCCTGGCATGGTGATATGCAGAGGTGTGGAAAGTAGCTTAAAGCCAGACTCAAATGCAATGAAATAGCTGTTTAATTAGGCCTTAAGATGTACAGGCGAGTACTGAGTATTCTGCAGAACTGTAGTGAAACTTCATAGTACACTGAACATCTATCAGCTGAAGTTCAGAACTGAAGTTTGTTAGGCTCTGTTCTTCTCTTCTGGGTTCCTTTTGGTCTAACATAAAATGCTACAGCTAATGAGCAACAGCAAAGCAGTCCAGATAATGAATCAATGAAATTAAACCTTCACAAAAATAATTTGAGATTAATATTTGATTAAAATGTAACTTAGGAAGAAGTACATTCATTTCTTCTAGACGTACTTGAGTGGGTACAAAGGTGGTCCCACATTTTTTTTTCTGTAATAACTGTGTAGTTATACATTAATACATGTAACAACCATGTACTAGTGATATGTTCACTGTTATAGATTATAATAAGACAGTTTATGTAGATACATAGGTGTATTGAGTTCAGTTTTTAATAATGTAATTACACACGTCTGTCTTCATAGCTGTATGTAACAGCATATTTTCTCACAACGCATGTAATTGGATGATTTAATTGCATTTGTATGAACTGCTGTTTTTCCTATAAGACTTTTCTGATTGTAACAGGTGTGTAATTACCAACATTATGAGAGTTCTCACACTTCATCTGCACAGGAAACAGCAACTTTCCTAACAATAACAGTACACTCATACTCACATAGTGTGTGTAATCACACACCTCCCATTACAATCAGAAAAACAGCTGTTCATACAAATGTAAATACTCTATTACATGTGTAATTACACAAGAGAAAGTGCTGTTACAGCTGTCAAGATACACTTGTACAATTACAAGAGTAAAAATCTGGAGTTGGTACATGTGTATTTACATTCGCTGTATTACTGTAATCAACCTCTGACAGTGAATACATCATCAGTTGTTACATTACTGTTGCATGAATTGTTAATGTGTAACTACACAGTTATTAAAGACGTAAAGGTATATTAAAATACTCAGATTTGACAGTTTTGACAATACTACAGATCCACTTACATAAATGAGACTAGTTCCTGCTCAGCCCAATACCCAACTGAACATCGGCCTAGTTTTGAAAATGAATGTGGCCTATATTAGGGACTCCCCCAGAGCAGGCCAAAACTTGGAGATAGTAAGCCCTGAGCTCCAGCTCCAGATGCAGAGCCCCCCTGAAGAGTTGATCAACTTCACTTCTTTGCAAAAGTGCTTGGTCTTGGCTGTAAATGATCCAGGCAGACCAAGAACTGTAGGGATACGCAAGAATTATGGTTATGCAGTTCCAACTGGGGGGCATCAAGACTTCAACACTAATACTAAGCTAATAAGTCAGTGACCATGTTCAGACAGGGAAATATTAAACAGCACTGTTAATTCTCTGAGTGCAGCCTGCAAGCTGAAGGTTTATAACCCCAGAGAAAGACTTTGTGTCAGAATTTTGGCACTCGTTAGCCATGAAAAATGAGGGAAGTAAAAGGACCAAAGGGGTTTAATGTGGCTGAGGGTGCAAATTGTTAGCCATTGTGAAGAGGTGAAATATTTGGGAGTGAAAACTTCTTAGCTGTAGTTTATTCTTGATGGCGGTTGTGGGTAAAAGGATGCAAGTGAGGTTTAAAGCCATTGTGGTGTCAAGATCAAAATTTCACAGCTTTACACAGTGTTTCCCCCAAATGTATCAGCCTGGACCTGACGAGCATTTTTCAGTTTTTGACCTAATTTGAAAGTGTCTGTTGCCCTTTACATTGTATGTAAATTTCATGATAAATAGATCAAAAGAAATGGCCCAAAATTACTTGGACAAAAAGGCTGGTTCCATTGACTTGCATTAAAAGTAAAGTATGTTTTTTCGTTTTCCTGTAAAGTTACCGTTTCGTCCCGACAGCAGCGATATATTTGTCAGTTTTTAGATAATGGCTTGTCATGCAGTGTCAGGAACCATCTAACTATGTGCAGTTAGCCTGATGCTAATTGGTAGGGTATTACCTTAGCCTCGTAGCTCCTGTGCAGAACTAAAGAAGCAGATTTTGGACACCAAACACGTCAGGTTAGAGGTTTTTAGATGTTCGAGAGAGCAAAAAGTGATGCCCGTACCATCTTGCAATGATTTTTGAGCTACACTGCTTTTGGAAACCCAAGCGCAGGTTTAGCCCAGCTAAGGCAAAGGAGGAAAAAAAGTAAAAGTTTACGCATTACTTTCAACGTTCTCCTCAGGGAACTCCAGAAATTAACAACGCAAGTCATTTTTCTTGAAAACTCGCTCAGTTGTGACCACTTCTGTCTCGTATGCTGCCTGCCGTGAGATTACAATGACTGAATTTAATGAAGTCATGTTGCCTTTTATACTTGCCCTCGGGTAGCACAAGCTGCGGTCACATACTTTCTGCAAATGCGCTGGATTTATTGAGGCGTGGGACCGCGCGCTTAAAGTTCTCTCCTATTTTTGGGCCCCGTGCGGAATAATTTACAGTTAGCTGTTGTTGCGTCCCTGCAGCAACAAAAAATAATGAATTGATGTGAACAGGAGGAGCAATCCAGGAGCCGGGGCGCTCCATAATTGGCCTCAGCATTTGCTTTGGAGCTCTAATTGAAAGAAGAGACCTGTTTGAATATGTAGCGTAGCAGAACACCATATCAATTTGCGAGTTCAGGTAGCGAGGCAAGGGGTGAATGCGAAATCAAGGCAAAAACACTAACTTGATGATGCTAGCAGCGCTGGAATAAGTAGTTTGCTAAAGTTCGTCATGCTTGACCAGAACGGCGGCTACCAATTAGCTTTATGTTGTAAGTTCCCATTTATTTGGCACATCTACTCTCATTGAGTTACTTGCCTTTGTAAATTATTTTGCCGCTTTTTTGCCGGGAGGAATGAGGAAAGTAAAGGAACCGTTGGGGTTTTGTGTTGTGTAGCTCACAGTTGTTATTACTAAAAGTTATTATTAATTGCAGGGTTTGAGGAGATTCACCACTCTTGCAAGTTGCATTCAGAACATCATGTATCTACTCTCATTGAGTTACTTGCCCCTGTTGTAACACATTATGTCCACTCTGTCTACTTATTCGGTTGTGCGAATGAGAAAAATGAGACTTTCCATTTTCATATCCTAATAAGCCTTCAAAATTTATCGGCTGTGTTTTATAAGGTTGAGACATTTCCCTTTCAGACACTGTTACTCATGGCCTCACATTTGACTTTATGAGCCTAATGCAGACTCAGACTTTATAAAACTGTACTGCGCTGTCTCCAGGCTTTTATTCAGTATTCAAATTCCTGCACTGAACTCATGCTAACCTTTCGTGACCATTTTCCCTCTCTCTCCTTCTCTCTCTCCCCCTTACTGTCTCCCCCCCTCGTCTCCAGGACACCGAGATCATCAATACGGCCATTCTGACTGGACGAACCGTCGCCATCCCGGTCAAGGTTGTCTCCATAGAGATGAGTGGCACAGTCACCGACATTTCCTCCTCCGTGGAGTGCAAGTCGTCCAATGAGGACATTGTCAAGGTATGTTATGCTCATGAGCGACTTATTGTTGCTCACCTGTTAGAGGAGGCTGTCACTAGAAGCCCCACGATACAGTATTCGATGCGATACTTGAGCGAAGGTATGATTCTTTTGCCATTTGTACAGATTTGGGATATACTAAATACACACACACACACACACACACACACACACACAAACACACACACACACGTTATCTATGCTGCTTCTTCTCCTGGGTCACGGGGGTGCTGGAGCCTATCCTAATCCAGAGCGAATTACAGTGGCAAGTCAACTCAACTTTAGGAGTATAGTCCAAGTTCCACTTCTCTCTCTCTCACAATTTTTTTTCCACTGCTAAGGTTCACAAAATGGGTAATGCTCACCTTTTGGGAAGCAGGTGAAAAAATATATTTAGCGCTAGCATGCTAACTGTTAGACATTTAGCTCCCCAGTCATTTTTTCATCCCGTTCATGAAGGGTAAGTGGGGGGGTACAGCTGCTCCCTTGTGGTTGAGGCTGGTATAGCATGCTAATTGTTAGCCACGGAGGAGCTCCCCAGTGATTTATTTATTTTTTTTCCACCTGATCCTAAAAGGGTAAGTGGGGCAGGCGGAGGGGGGTCCAAAGCTGATGTAGCATGCTTAGTGTTACCAAGTACTTCTTTAATAAAAAAGGTAGAGGTAGAAAAAAAAAATTGTTGGTGAATTGTTGTCAGCTGTTTATGGTATATTATACACAAAAAAGTGGAACATTCAGAAACTCGCTTAATTTTTTTTTCATCTTACCCTTTAAGGCTTCCATAATGTTGTCGTGTATCGTACATGATTTCCCTCAAGGGTTCAATTATAAGAAATTATGCTTCATTACTATATTTAAGTATTATTGTGGAAGATTTGTACTTCACTGAAGTGTTGTTAAAATTGAATTGAAATTTAACTGAAACTGAACTTTAAATCGAAATTTAACTCAATTACGTTTCCAAAAGAATAAACATACTTTTTTTTTTTTACTCCGTGCATTTTCACTTAGATGCTCAGAGATCTCTTTTTAGATCTTAAAGGTGAGGAGCGGCGTCTCCTTTTCTCTTACCATTTAGTTGTATATACTTCTTTAAATGGAGATGCTTTGTCAGCTTCACTCAAGTGTAACTGAGTAAGATTTTGACAGCATACTTTCACCTAAGTACGATTTCCTGCGCTGCCCCCACCACCTGCCCTCCCACTCTCCTTCTGTTGTCTCCCAGTTCTTTTGAGCCAATGAAAGTAGAGCTATGCTTAAAAGAGCATAAAACAAGCATCAAACAGTCACTTAAAACTGGCTCTCTGCACACTCCCACGGCTGATGCTTTTTGAACCCCCCGGAGGGATCGATGACTTTTTCGTCCGAGACAATCCATCAAAATCAGCGTACTGCAGGAACTCACGCAGCCCAGATCGCCGGGGACTGTAATCACACGGCCCCACGTTTCCAGCCATTAAAAGAAAACTCTCAGAAAGTCATGCAGCTGGATATGACGTCTCTTTTGATTATGCTAACCAGAATGACTTCGGGTAAAAGATACTGTTCTTGAGATTTCAGGGATCTGTCACAAACGGAGCTCAGGCTCAGGGGGAAGAGCTCAATTTAAATATGCTGCGGCTTTCACCCTTCTCTATTTCCTTTGGGCGCAATGAGTACGCTAATCCTGCTATTGCATTTTATTTCCTTCCATAAACGCTTAGCGCTTGCGAATGACCATCTCTCCCAGCTTGGGCTTTTTTTTTTCCACCCCTCCAAGAACTCTCAATCATATCCGGCGACTACGATATAGACATAAACCCATTTTCAATTATCCTTTATTGCTGCACTTTTATGATATTTCCAATAATCTTTGCCATCCGTTTCATCACCATGAACTCCACGAGACACATCCGCACCAACTCTTAAAAAGCCTTTGGAGAGGACATTTAAGATATAGGCCTGGCCTGCCCATGATATCTGTGTGTCAACCAAGGAGTGAGATCCATATGTCAAAGGATAGCATAGGCCAAGGGTTGCCATGAATCTGGTTTAAGATTTAGAGTAATGGCGGACAGGCAGCATAGCGCGCTAGCTCTCGGGTTATCGAGTGGGTTTGCTTGACTGCCCTGGCCATTGAACTTTGGAGGCTAATTTGAGATGAGCCCTTCATGCTGTGACGTCCACGAGTACTGACAGTTCAATAAAACACTCCGGCTGGGGGGAAAAAAAAAAAGAGAGAAACTCCATAAGGAAGAGAAAGGTTAGAGGCCCCAGTAACATCTTTTTGGTGGCAGTATTCACTGTCAGACCTTTTGGAGTGGGGTTATTCCTTAGAGCAGAGTTTTGGGCTTTTACTACTGATGCACTTAGACTTGGAATAGAAGGGAAGCTAACGCAGAAGTGCAAGTGTCACGCATTGCCGTTTTTATTGCATGCAGTGAAAGTGCTTTCAGTACATTTCAGTGGATCATCTTTAGCTTTATATGTGTAAGCTTAAAGGGCTTTGATGCTGGCCTTCTTAACCGAGGTGGTCTCTGTCTTTTGGGTCATGGTTATGGGGTTGAACGCACGGATATTGTGTGTGTGGATTCTCAGTGTGGATTTGTGTGTGTGTTGAGACCCTGTGGGGCTTTGTGTCGGAGAGCAGGAAGCTGTGAACAGTGCTTGGCCAGCTGCTCCCTCCTCCCAAGGCTGTGTTAGTCACGCTGGCCATCTGAGGACAGAGTGTACGCCTAACCGGCCTGCCTCCCACTGGTCAGCAAAGCACACAGCTGACCCACACACAACACGCCACACGCAAACCACGCGCATGAGGCGCTAATCGCATCGCAACATGCATGGCAGGCAAACCGCAAGCACGACACGCTAACCGCTGAACAACACGTATGATGCGCTAACCACGAAACCACACTTGACACGCTAACCACTTACACCACTGGCTGATCACATGCATGACCTGCTAACCACATGCACAGCGTTCTAAACATAAACCAAAACTTGCAGGAAACACTGACAAAATGTGCCACATGCTAATGCATATGACATGCAGCTCACTAGCCACATGCATGACGCGCTAATCACTTCACAACACGCATGACAGGCAAACCACAGGGGTGATACGCTTACTACAAAAAGACACACAACACTACTCATGAACCCACATGCGTGGCACGCTAAACACAATGCCAACCACAAGCTAATCAAATGCACCACGTGCAAATAAAGTGCACCACAGCTAACTATGCGTATTATGCACTGACCTCAGGCTAACCACTCGTTAACCATGCATATTAGACGCTAATCACAAACTAACCACATGCATGATATGCTAATCACATGCGTCACACACTAACCACAGACATTATGTGCTAATCTGACACCACTTGCTAATGACATTCATGCTTACCATGTGCATTGATATGCTAGATTCATAGACCACATGCTAATCAAAAGCTAACCACGTGCATAACGCGCTAACCACATGTACCATTCGCTAATTACATGCATTAAAAGCTACCTGCATGCATGACATGCTAAGCACACCAACCACAAGCTAACCACATGTTCCACTTATTAACTATGCATATGTGCTAACCACAAACAACATGCACCAGGGATGCAGGAAGGGGTTTTACAGTGCCCCCCACATATTGTCAGTGCTGATAAACATCAGCTAAACAGACTGTGAAATAGCTTAAAGCTTATCTTTCTGATCTTTCATTCCAAGTATTAACGAAAATGTAACCTTTATATGAAGTACAAAAAAAACGAACTCATCCTGAATTAAATATTGTTTGTCATAATTGTTGGCATCTCTATAAAGTCTTATGAGTGAAATCTAACGGAAGTATATTCCCCTTCATATTTTATGTTTTAAAATTTCAGTGATTAGGAACAAACAAACGGTTAGCCGTGAATTCCTGTGTCTCTGGGATATAAATATGAGGTGACTCACAAGCCTTTTTCCCTTTTTCCTCCATCACTATGAGAAAGACCAATGGATACAGCAGTGATGTGCGACAAAAGGTTGTTGAGCTGCACAAATCAGGAAACAGCTATGAGAAAACAGCTAAACAGTTGAAGATGCCCACTATCAGAGCAATAATTAAGAAGCTTAAACCAGCTGGAGATGTTAAGAATCTGCTGGGAAGATGACGAATGTCTGTACTGACCCCACACACAGTGAGGAGGATGGTTTGAGTGGACAAAGAATCCCTGCGGATTACAGCTGGACATAGTTGGGTATTGGGGTCAGAACGTCTCCCAAACTACAATCAGACGCCACCTACTTAACCAGAATTTCTTCTGGGGGTTGCTAGAGGAAAGCCTCTGCTGTACCAACAAACTGAAGCACCTACAGTTTGCCAGATGTTACTGGAACTTTCATGGGTGGGACCATTTTCTTTAATCAGGTAAGACCAAAATGGAGTTTTTTGGCAACAACACCAGAGGTGGGTTTGACGTGGAAAGTACAGAAAAGTACCTCATCCCCACTATGAAGTATGGTGGTGGATCTGTGATGTTGTAGGGCTGTGTTTCTTCCAAAGGCCCTGAACGACTTGTTCAGACACATGGTGTCACAGACTCCATCAAGTACCAGCAGATGTTAACCTGACTGCCTCAGCCATGAAGCTTAAACTGGGCCATGGTTACATCTTCCAGCAGAACACCGATCCGAAGCATGCCTCAAAATCAATACAAAATTGTTTTGCTGACCAAAGAATAAGGGTTTTGCCATGACCACTGCAGTCCCCTGACCTAAACCCTGTAGAAAACCTGTGGGGTGAGCTAAAGAGGAGAATCCACAAGCGTGGACCTTGGAATCTGAAGGATCTGGAGAGTTTCTGTATGGAGGAATTGTCTTACATCCTTTGTATTACAGGAGAAGAGCTGTTATCTTTGCAAAGCGAGGCTGCACAGAGTATTAAATGAAGGGGTGCCAACAATTGTGGCACAGAGATTTGAGAAAAATCTTTGTTTTTTTTGTTTTTGTTTTCTTTCAATCGTTGTACTTCAAA